TTGGAGTCAGAGAAATCAAGGGTTTGGGTTTTTTTTCCTTCTCCACTTATCTGTAAAGTCACTAAGTTGTCTGAACCTTGTTTTCATTGTAAAATGAGGCTAATAATACCTAAGTCATAGGCTTATTTAAAGGATTAGTTTTTAGAATATGTAAATAACCTGGTTCAAGGCTGGGCACATAGTAGGTATTTAATAAAAGCATTTTTTAAAGATATTTCTATTGATTTCAGAGAGGAAGGAAGAGGGAGAGAGAGATAGAAATATCAATGGTGAGAGAGAATCATTGATTGGCTGCCTCCTGAATGCCCCCTACTGGAAATTGAACCCACAACCTGAGTGTGTGCCCTGACTGGGAATCTAAATGACCTCCTGGTTCATAGGTCACTGAGCCACACCAGCCGGGCTTAATAAAAGCAAACTTTAAAAAATAGTTCAGTCTCCCTTGGCTGTACTTCTTTGTTCAGTTTTATTGAGAAATAATTGACATATGTCACTATATAAGTTTAAGGCGTACAGCATGGTGGTTTGATTTACATATATTGTGAAACGATTACCACAATAGGTTCAGCTCACATCCATCTTTTCACATAGATACAATAAAAATAAGAGAAAGAAGAAAAGAATAAAAGGGAGATTTTTTCCTTATGATGAGAACTCTTAGACTCTACTTTTTAAACTTTCCTACGTGTTAAACAACAGTGTTAGCTCGTCAACATGCTGTACATTATATCCCTAGCACTTACTTATCTTATAATTGGAAGTTTATACCTTTTGAACATCTCCCTCCAATTTCCCCTCCCTCCTCCACCTCTATATGTGGTAACTACAAGTCTGATCTCCTTTTCTATGAGTTTGGTTTTTTAAATTTTAGGTCCTACATATACATGAGATCATTCAGTGTTTGTCTTTGTCTGACATTTCATTTAGCATGATACCTTCAAGGTTCATCCATGTAGTTGCAAATGGTAGGATTTCATCATTTCATTTTTTTATGGCTGAATAATAGTCTATTGTATATATGTACCACATCTTATTTATCCATTAAACTAATGATGGGTTCTTAGGTTGTTTCCATGACTATTGTAATAATGCTGCTATGAACATGGGATGCAGATAGCTTTTTGAGTTAGAGTTTTTGTTACCTTTAGATATATTCCCAGAAGTGGAATTGTTGAATCGTATGGTAGTTTTATTTGTAATTTTTTGAGGATCTTCCATATTGTTTTTTATAGTGGCTGCACTAATTTGCATTTTCACCCGCAAGTATTCCCTTTTCTCCACGTCCACACCAGCATTTGTTAACACTTGTCTTTTTTAGGATGGTCATTCTATTCTGATAGGCATGCGATGTTGAGAATAGTGATATCCCTAGTGACTAGTGATGTTGAGCGTCTTTTCATGTACCTGTTGACCTTTTGTATATCCTCTTTGGATAAATGTCTCTCTAGGTCCTTTGCCCATTTTAGATTGGGTTATTTGTTTCTTGTTATTGAATTGTAGAGTTCTTTATATGTTTTTTATATTAACCTCTTATCAGATATATGGTTTGCACGTTTTCTTCCCATTTATAGGTTGTCTTTTCACTTTATTTATGGTTTATTTTGCCGTGCAGAAGCTTTTTAATATAAAGTAATCCCATTCGTTAATTTTTTATTTTATTGCTTATGTTTTAGATGTCATATCCAAAAAATCATTACCAAGACCCATGTCAAGGTGCTTTGTTCTATATGTTTTTTAGGAGTTTCATGGTTTCAGGTCTTACATTTAAGTCTTTAATCCATTTTGAGTTAATTTTTGTGAGTGGTATAAGGTGTATCCAGTTTCATTCTTTTACATGTGAATATCTTACTATCCCAGCACCATTTATTGAATAGACTGCCTTTCTTCATTGAGAAGTCTTGGCTCCTTTGTCAAATATTAGTTGACCATATATGCTTGGGCTTATTTCTGGGCTCTGGATTTTGTTCCATTGGCCTATCTGTTTTTATGCTGGTAACAGAGTTTTGATTAGTATAGTTTGAAACCAGGAAGTGTGATATCCCTGTTTTGTGCTTCTGTCTCAGAATTTTTTGAGATATTTGGTGTCTTTTTTGGTTCCAAATAAATTTTAGGAGTGTTTTCTACTTCTGTAAAAAAAAAAAAAAGAAAGAAAGAAAAGGAAATACCATGGGAATCTTGACAGTGATTGCATTGAATCTATAGATGGCTTGTGGTAGTATTGTCATTTTAACAATTGTAATACTTTCAATCCGTGAGCAAGAAATACTTTTTCATTTATTTGTGTTTTCTTTGATTTCTTTCATCATTTTCTTGTAGTTTTCAGTGTAGAGAACTGTTGCCTCCTTGATTAAATTTATTCTCCTAAGTATTTTATTGTTTTGACATTATAATAAATGGGATCAATTTCTTTATTTCTTTTTCAGAAAGTTTGTTCTTAGTATACAGAAACACTACTAATTTTGTATGTTAATTTTGTGTACTGCAACTTTACTGAATTCTTTGATTAGATTTAATGATTTTTATGATTTTTTATATGTAAAATTATGTTGTCTGCAAATAGAGATAATTTTACTTCTTCCTTTCTAATTCTGATACCTTTTATTTCTCTTTCTTGCCTAATTGCTCTAGCTAGGACTTTAAGTATGTGAAATAAGAGTGGTAAGTGTGGGCATCCGTGTCTTATTCCTGATCTTAGAGGAAAAGCTTTCAACTCTTTACCATTGAGTATAATGTTAGTTATGGACTTATCATATATGTCCTTTATTATGTTGCGATATGTTTCTTCTATGCCTAATTCATTAAGAGTTCTTATCACAAATGGATGTTGAAATCTCTTGCATGCTTTTTCTGCATCTATTGAGATGATTATATGATTTTTTCCCTTCATTCTGTTAATGTTATATAATGTGATGTATCACATTGATTTGCATCTGTTGAACCATCCGTGCATTAGGGTATGCATTTTAAATATTGGTCATTTTTTGCAGGGTTCACAGGGAGAGAAGATTTAGGCTAAAATGTGTGAGTTACTTCGCATTGCGTAGCCTTCAAGTAGGAGAGCAGATATCTTAAAACTGAGGACATACCATCCCAGGAAGGATTGTGGATGCCATAGAAAGATTAAGATTTGATTTGCTTCAAATCAATATAGTAGAGACTAGATCAGCCAGCTTCTGTCACAGAACTGTGTTGGCTCCATCCTCCTGGAGTCATAGGCCCTCAGAGGCCCAAGGCTCTGTGAAGAAAGGCACTTGATAAAAGGGCTTTGGGGTCTGTAATACTGAGTTAAATTCTTGAGTTTGCTACTTTTTAGTTTTGCACTTTCTTGTACTTAATGTTGAATGTGTATTTTCATAGGTCAAAGTATTCAGGCTCCTATACTAACTGGAATTGTATATAAACCTACTTGATGATCAAGTGTCAGCAACTGGGAAACATTAGTTTTAAAATATAGATAAAAACCTTTATGTATTTTTCCTCTTTCCATTGTGTATACTATTGCATAAACTTACATTAAAATTTTAAGATTAAAAGATGAAAGTGAGAAATACAGTTTATTTTTATCCCAAAGCTCCTTTGTTTTCATTAGCAATCTGGAGACTTAAAACTACTTAAAACAAACAACTCTCCATTAAACATTTTTAAGAGTAGAAGAATAATTTTCCAAGCATTTGAAAGCACACCTTTTGTACAGAGCACAAATAGATGTCTAGCAGGTATTTGACTTCATTTGGATTGATGAATGTAGAAGTAATTACACGATTATTTATTCACTCATTTGTTTTTTAAAAAAATAATGCCATCCCGGCCAGTGTTGCCTAGTGGTTGAGCATCGACCTATGAACCTGAAGGTCTCGGTTTGATTCCTGGTCGGGGCACATCGAGCCCAGGTGGCGGGCTCAATCACAGTGGGGTGCATACAGGAGACAGCCAGTCAATGATTCTCTCTCATCATTGATGTTTCTGTCTCTCTCTCCCACTTTGTTCCTCTTTGAGATCAATAAAATATATATATATATTTTAAAGATTTCATCTTAAAAAGATGCCAGGCATGCCCAACTCTTACAGTCATAACAGCAAAATATTGAGCCCCCATTGGCTCTGGCTTTGGCTTGTGTAACTTGGAGAAACTCTCACAGGTGGAAATGTTCTGTGGGACTCAGCCAGATTCAGACCCAAAGTAAAAATGAAATATGAGTGTGGGCTTGAAACAGAGGCAATCAGAGATAGAAGGAATGTGGGAGTGAAGATATAGTCACTGTAAAGATGGCCTTACCCAGAAAATGGAAAACACCTGGCCTCAAAAATGCACTCTTTGGGGACAGTTTGAAAGTTGAGGGAAATAATATAAGAGCAATATAGCTTTAAAAGATGAAAGTGCTCCTGTTTTTAAATTGATTTTGAAAAGAAAAGATGTGAGAGGTTTATGATATGAGCAGAGAGGTGGGGAACAGAGCAAGGAAAGTAGATTTAGCTGTGGAGAGCAGGTGAGCACCTGGAGAGACATCCATTCATTCATTTATTCTACCAGCAATATCTGGAGCTATGCACTGGTCCCCAGGGTTACAGATGAATCACACACAGCCCTGTCCTCAAGGAGCTCACAGTCCAATGATAGAGACAGGAGGGTAGAGAGTCTCGGTGCCGTGTGGTAAATGTCCGTGATGGAAGCATGTACAGGAACAGAGGCGGGGCCATGGTGGGGTGTTGGGGAAGGCCATTGGGCCTGAAGGCGAGAGAGGAGGGCTTTCCAGGCCCAGGCCAGTAGCTGGGGCTAGTCACTCTACCCTCCTTTTGCTCCTTAACTTTTAGTTTTCTCACCTGTAAAATGCAAGTGGTAAGGGCAGAGGGGTGGGCCAGAATCCCACCCATCTCTCGGTATCTTCATAAAGATGATATGGGGTGCTGGGTGTAAATGTGCTTACACAGTTTCCTAAGTCTAGCATGTGATTTAATGAATTCTTTTTAGTGGCTTTGTAAAGTTCATCTCATTTCTCCAGGGAGATCACACTTGCTGTGTTAGCTCTGCACTTCCTGCCGCACCTTTCTGAAGGGGCCCTGGAAAATCCCCTTGAAGTGCATTTGGTCAATGTACCTGCTCCTGGGTCCACAGAAAGGAAGGAGCGGTCCAGATGGAGGGTGGACCAAGAACAGCCCCTGCTCTTCCACCCCGGGTAGGTCCATGGAGAAGGCCAGAGATGCCTTCTGCTTTCAGTATACAGAGTGCACTGGCAATTTACTGAAATTTTACATGAAAACAGGAGGAGTTTCCTTTCTGGAAATCAGAAATCCTAATGACTGCGCTTGTTACATTCATTCGAAAGTATCTAACTTTAACCCATTCACAGTAGAGGGTTTTTTCTAAAGGGCAGAGTGCTCCAGAAATTGTGTTTGTAAGCGTTAAAAAGGGTGCTTTTTATTAAAAGTTTGCTTAATCCCTTCCCCTTTGCTCTGTATTTTCCTGATTGGTATTATTGTGAGACCTGATTAGTTAATGTTTGTGAAGCCTTGACAGTGGTTATCAGCCTGTGGGTCGAGACCCCTTTGGGGGTCGAACGACCCTTTCACAGGGGTTGCCTAAATACATCCTGCATATCAGATATTTACATTATGATTCAAAACAGTAGCAAAATTACAGTTATGAAGTAGCAACGAAAATAATTTTATGGTTAGGGGTCACCACAACATGAGGAACTGTATTAAAGGGTCGCGGCATTAGGAAGGTTGAGAACCACTGCTTTAGAAGATGAAGGAAATAGCTATCGATATAGATGATGAGTAGTAACCTTTTTAAGTGTTCTTTTCTACTTCAGAAATTAAATTCCAAGTATTGATCTTACCAACTCGTAGATTAGTCAGCTTTACCACCTGCAACACTTTATTTAATGAGCACATATTTTCAGAATGTTACTTTTGCACAAAGGGAATGAACACCTATTGCGTGCTTACCAGTGCCAAGCTCTGAGCCTGATACCTTCAACTTGTTATTTTTAATCTTTACAGCAACCCTGCAAAGCAGATAGAATTGTTCAAAATTTTCAGGTGAGGAAATTTCAAATGTACTTTGGAGAGTCTTTATGTGGCTAACCCAAGCTCAGGGCTGGAGCTGGTTTTCAAACCCAGATCAGATCAATTTCAAACCTCATGCTCTTTGCCTTACACCATGTAGAATTTTCAATCAGGATCTTTCCTGTAAGATCCATTTATTTATCAATATTTACTGACTAATAGCAGACACAACCTAGAATGGTTTTAACCAGATTAGTTCACTTGCTTTCTCTAAAATGGCTGGGTTGCATGTTATGGTGATAGGAACATTGTCCTCAGACTCTAACAGCGGTCGCCAACCTTTCGGACCACACGGGCCACCAGTGGTCTGCGGACCACTGGTTGGCAACCTCTGGATTAGGAAATGGAGAAGGGCACAGAATTTGGTTTCAGACTTGAGTTCAAGTTGCCCTTCTGGCTGAGTGACAGTGGATACTACCTGAAACCTCATGTCTCCATCATGCTGAGTGACTTCATGTCTTCACGCCTCCCTCATCAGTAAATGGGGGAAGGACAGTGGCCTACTTTGCAAAGTTGTGGGAGAATTAAGTGAAGTAATGTAGGTGAAGACACCTGTCACCATTTATTATGTGCTAACTGTTGGTAGTATTGGAAAGAGTCAATGGCAGTTGTGTGCCAAAACATTTTCCTGTGTTACCCAAGGCACTTTTTAATCAGCTCTATCCAGGATCTCCACTTCCTGAGCCTTTGCCATGTTCTGAGCAGGGACTTTGCTAGGCTCCTTTGTATATACCTCTTCATTACCACATTTATAACTTTATATAGTAATTACTTATTTACTTATTTATTTACTTCCTTACAGGCAGGAACCTCTTTTCTCTCTTTGTATCCTTGGCACTTAACATAATGGCTTCTGGCCCATCAAAGGAACTCATTAATGTTAAGGAACTTAGCATGGCTTTTGTTCCTTTGTACTGCTTTTCTTCTTTTTAAGAGCTAACTTCAGTTGTGGGAAGGGGCTGTTCAAAGGAAGCACTATATTATCATCATTAAATTGTGATTTCATTAGCTTGCTTTAACATGTACCTGTACTAAAGAAATTTTAGGTTGCACTAATTTGACAACAGTTGGTTCTGAATATTTGTTACCCACTGACTTTTTTTAAAAGGTAAATTTCTGGAATAAAAAGAATATATCAAGAGTTGGAAGAGTTTGCCAAGCAAATTTACTTTTATCTGTGATTTCAAAGAAGTAAACTATTTTTCATACCTTAGTGTGTATACAGGTATCATATCCAAATTATCCTTAGGGGCATATTAAATTAGTCCTGAAAGGGCCTGAGAATTATATATTATGCAGTTTGAATTTTAGTGTAAAGATAATAATTTTGAAATTGGTGTTTTAAAAATTATTATTTCTGAATTTTAAAATGCCAATTTGACTCTTGCCCAATTAGTATGAATTAGTGAGGTTTCAAAAGTCTATTTTGAAAAAGACAAGATTGTGAAGACAGAAATAGTGACTCTTCTCTGTTCTAAGTATAACATTTTCTGTTGTTGTAAGGCAAATCATAAAAATACATATAGTGGGAGATTTTAAAAAATAGAACAATGAGGAAATTGAGGTGAAGAAAAATTAAGAGAATTGTAAAGTAAGATAAATATAAAGGTAAAGTTTGTGTTTAAAAAAACAACAAACATCAAAAGTTTGCAGTGAAGTCCTTTGCTCTTTCTTCACACACACAGAGCTACAGATCCGGCATCATTTTCCTAGCGCTATTAACCGAGAGGAGACACAGTGAATCACAGGATGCAGAGTCCCTAAAACAAAAGCAAACCCATCACGCGAAGGACAGAGAATACTAGTGGCTCATTGTCATAATAAAGTATTTGCCTCAAAGCAGACCAAATATAACGATACTTTGGTATTTGCTTCTTATTCATGAGATTTTTAATAAATGTGTATTAGGAGGATCTCCATATGCAGGAAAGAGAGAGAAGCTTAAAAGCATGGCATGGAATGCTGCTTGACAGTGTCATACATTCACAAGATGTCCTTGAAGATGGAGCACAGAACAGAGATCAAGGAAATTTTGGCAGCTGCAGTTGGGAAAATAAATGGCTGTTATGCGATTGGGTAGATCCTGAAAGCAGGCTCCTGCTCAAACCATGTAATTAAGAAAAGTGGGAGCTATTGTCCAAGTGCAGAATGTTCATAATATCAGAGTTTGTCAGCGGGAGCTTTTAGAACGGATCGGTACTTTTCACTCCCTGATCCAGGGAATGGTTTTCTTATAAATCATCGTCTCTCCTTGCTGTCCTCGTGAAGGTTGCTGCCAGGCGATAAGGCCAACTCAGATTGTAACCTTGCACAGTGCGTTAGGTGAAGGGGAAACCAGACCAGAGACTGTTTCAGGAAATGTGATTTTCATTCATTTGGGCTCCTGTGTTTCCTCTGATGTGGGAACAAACAGTATGGCCAAAGAGAGATCCTGCAGGAAGACTCTTGGAAGGAGATGGAGTCATTTTTAACACCATGGCCCCCAAACTGGTTTGAAGGATTTATTTTCTTTCTATAAAAGAACTTCCTTCCAGATTACAAAAGTGCTATATTTTCATTGTAAAACAAATACACAAAAAATTGGAAAATGATGATGGAGACAAGTAATTGATAGAATTATCATCTATAATGCTACCATTTATTGTTAGCATTTTATTTTTCCTTTCCACTCTGTGCATATTTATGTAGTTGAGATAATCAATTTTTCACCTTTCTTCTACATTGATCATACACATTTTCTTATGTTATTAAAAACTACTATAAACATAATTTTAACAGTTGCAGAATACTGTATCATAAAAACTATACAATAACTTACTTAGTCATTCCCCTTGTTGGGCCCTTAGATTGTTTGTTTGTTTGTTTGTTTACTCTTCTAGATACAGTTTTCTTAATATATCTTATTGTGCATATTTGGGTCTGCAGAATTTTGGATTCTTTTCTGAGCTTAAGAATGGATCACTGGGTCCAGAAATATGAACATAACGTTCAGAAAGTTTGTGTCAGTACATACTTCACCAATAACAATGAGAGAGATTCTTTCATTGCACCTAAAAACTTGATAGTTGCAACCCCTGAATTTCTACATTCTCTGTAAACATGTGGTCCACAGGTAATTCAAAGACAGTTCTGCCATCCCCGGTCTGCATTCTCACCAACACTGATTCGGTTCTACTCGTACCCATCTGCCCTCCCAGAGGGTGTCCAGGAGAGTGGTAGCCCAACTACCTCTCTGAGATAGTTTGAGGGATAAAGTTCTCCTATCGGGTCAAAAAAGTCCTTTTTTCTAATCCATATACCAGGGAAGTCAGTGAAGGATGAAATTAAAAATAGATTTTCAAGTGCAATAAAGTCGTTTTCACATTTAAAGCTACCCTGTCAGAACAATGTCCGGGATCTTTTCACTAATGAACATGCAGATATACTAAGGGACTGTCCGTGGGTTGAATTTAGCATGCCCGTTTATACATACATTGAGGTGCTGAAAACTTTTATTTCACTCAGCATCTTAGCGGCAGAATGCCCCCAAAGAGGCTCTCCCTTGAATTGCACAATTGGGAGAGCAGTAGGCTCACAATGCCTCTCAATAAAGGCAAGGTTGCTGTGTGCAGATTTTTTTAGATACTAACTCCCTCTATTCCCCTCTGCTCTCCTCCTCAGCTCTGTTAAGAAAATGAGTGTTAATTTTCAAAATAAAAATTGTGTTATGTAGATTTCTGAAAAATTTAATGAATGTGCATAAAACTCAAGTTCGGAGACATGACCCGAATCTTTAGATCATGATAAAGATGTACGGAATAACACATTGCTTTTTACAATTGAATTTCAGTGAGTTTGCTCACACTCTGAACCACTAGCCAAGCATTTTATAAATATACAATATTTATGTTTACATGAATTTTGCCATTGGCTATTGTTTATGCATTAAATCAGAAGACAAGTCCAACTTAATCAGTCCGTGGACAGTTTTACAAATAATTCATTAATGTTCTTTGTATGGAAGATGAGGATAATATATTTACCATCACAGCTAGTTCCTATTTCAACAGGTACTGATAACTTATATTTAGGCATTTTGATTATTTGCCCACATTAAACATTCAGAGTTTGGGGGCTAAAAGGTAGGATGTGATTGTTTTTGTGTGAAAGTTAATATTTTTGCCGTTAACCTGAGAGCTTGCCCACGAAATTGTATTTATATTAAAATGAAAACATTTGTCTTTTTTCAAATATGCCTTTAATAAAGAAAGCTTATTGAAATTTGAAATTGTACTTATTTAGTGGCCATTTTGGAAAAGAGGATTGAATGGGGAGTGGGGTGGTGAAGGAAAGGTTGCCTCATCTTTGCATTGAACCGGATAATCAAGCCATCCCTAAGCTCGGGAGAGTTCCCTGTAAAAGTCTGTGAAAAACAAACACCCAGAGGTTTTACCAGGATCGCCCCAGACTGGGTACACCAGGAAATCATTTTAGGTCCAAACTGAAGCCCTAAAGAAACTGTAAAATATAAAGGAGGCCAGTATTTATTCTGGAAGAGAAATGTGTGTGATGTGTCTGGGGAAGAAGATTAAAAACTTGGTTTTCTGTAAATTTGAGACTAATGCCTAAGAGAAATTAAATTTTGATTATGCGTTTCATATCCAGGCTGGCCCTACTATTTTAAGTATTAATGCCTCTTGTTCTTCCCAGCGGCTGCTGATTTTGTAAAAGCCCTGGCTACCACTGCTGAGAGTACTTTCAGCGCCTGGTGTCCATCTCCCATGAAGAAGATGCTATTTCAAAGGAGGAGTGCCTCCAGCTTACCTCATGTGACAAACAGTCACTTGTTTAGGACGTGGGCATTTAGACTGGGAACAGAACTGTCATTTCAATGTCAGACTGGAGTAGGACTCGTCTGTGTGTATTTCATTTATGTGCTTTTTTGGTGAGGAGGGAGAGTCATTAGAGAAACTCTGGAGCAGGTTGCTTAAAAG